AGGTCCATAAACCTGTGAAAGGTGTTTTAAGACTGGAAATTGAGAAGCACCAGACATCTAATGCAGAGCTGGAAAATATTTCAGAAAGTGCCAGCATGACCAATGAATCTATGTACCTAGGGGATCAAGTTACTGATGCAATGTTCATTAAGAGCCCCAACAATGGTTCTGATGGGCCTCAGAATAGCAATTCCAAGTGGATTCCTAGTGATGAGAAAAATGCAACTGGAAATGGAAACACTCATGGAAATCCGGATCTCAATGTTGGTGATGTAAGCAGAATGCCTTTCTTGCGTTTGTATTTTCTTTTTATATTTTTGTTGCATTTCAGTTGCTTATTTGCATGGCTGATAGGAACAACCAGGGAATTTTTCTTGTGTTCTGTAAATATGGTTTGCCTATTTCTTGATTCAATTTTGAATGGATAAATGCTTCAATTGGCTTGGAGCAAATTTATCTATCTAGCATTGTAATGCTGGCTATAACCTTAGCACCGTAAGATATATTAAGTCCATAGACCAGAGACTGAGTAATTGAGGTGAGAGGTTTACAACATGCATCATGGAAGCTGTTTGAGTTTTCTAAATCAGTGTTATTCTCCATTAGTAGTTTAGATCAAATTATTTCTTGAAAAAGACAAAATGTCGTCTGATCCCTTTCAGTTGCATTTTTTGGTAGTCTTTCTTATGCTGTTTTTCTGTTTTCGATTTCATAATAGTATTGGCTTTCCATGTTTGGTATAGCTGTTAGAAGCAATATCCAGATGCTAATTTTCTGTGCTCCAAAAGCAACCCTTAATCATCTTTCAAATCATCTCCTGTTATCCCTTAGTTGATGCATGTGAAAGAGCAGAAGCATTCTTTCTGTGCCTCTTGATCCCAATTCCATATGGCAAGGGGCATTTAAATGATGAGAATTGCTTTTTTAAGTAAAGTTGATGTACTTGAATTCTATTCAATTAGTCATTATTTTTCGACTTGCTTGAAAATTTATGCTGAGGTTAATCATGGAAGTTGCTTTCCAGTCATATGCTACATGTGGTGTAATGATCTTTATATGGATGTTGCTTGTCCAAGCAAATCCTCTCATGAAGAGTTATATGTGTTGGAGCTATTCTATCTTCCTTTGAAGTTTGAATACCTCTTATCAATGCAACTTCTTCTTTTTTTTTATTTTTTTATTCGTGTGGAACTTGTTTACCCTTAATTAGTTTCTTAATTTTAACCTGCAGTTCCAGGCATTTGACTTTCGGACAACTTTGAGAAACAAACCATTCTTGCAGCTTTTCCATTCTCTATATGTATATCCTTTAACTGTGAGCTTGAGTCGGAAAAGGAATCTATTCGTAAGAGTTGAGCTAAGAAAGGATGATGCAGATGTTCATAGACAACCTTTAGAGGTAAAATTGTTGAGTGATGCTTTGCACTATGATTTTTAAACTCGTCTTATTGTTCTTTCTGTGCTACTGATATGACTAGGCAATGTATCCAAGGGAACCTGGTTTATCACTTCAGAAGTGGGCTCACACACAAGTTGCTGTTGGTGCTTGGGTGGCCTGCTACCATGATGAAATTAAAGTTTCTCTCCCGGCTGTTTGGACACCATTGCATCACCTTCTATTCACTTTCTTCCATGTTGATCTTCAAATGAAACTAGAAGCTCCAAAACCAGTGAGTTCAATGAGATCCTTTTTTCTTTTCCTTCCATTTGAAATAATACAAAATCATCTGAACCTCGTCTTACTGGTTGTATACTCGTTGGTTAGTGGTTTGGCCTGTTTCACACTCCTCTCATTCTATCTTTTATTGCAATCCTAAGTAGTTCTGTTCTTTTACTTGGCAGGTAGTAATAGGTTATGCAGCACTTCCATTATCCACCCATGCACGGTATGCAACTGTCTTTATGTTTGTCATCCTTTGTTTTGTTTCTTTCCTTGATGATTTATTAACTTACATTATTTGTTCTGCTACTGGAGTGATTGGTATGGTAGTTCATGGTATTGGAAATAAACAAGGGGCAGAAATATAATCACCTATTCGGTATTCTAGTGGTTTGTTAAGTTAATGTTATAATTTCAATTGTCAGGTTACTTTCCTGGTTTATGTTGTGGGTACTTGGATGATATCAATGTTAGTCTTCATTCACCTTAGAGTGAAATGCTACCTAATTTATTCAGATAAGTTTGACAAAATCTTATTAAAAACAACAGAGGTGGTATTTAACATCAAACTCTCATTACCTAAGCTTAGTGTATGAAGTTATTGAATCATAAAAATCATATATGATTGTTTATAGTTTATACCTCAAGAAATTTACTATTTTGGTACAGGTCACACTTGAGTAGGGTATAGAGAAGGTTTGAATTGGGAACAATTTTATTTATCCTTTAGCCTTTTTTTTTCTAAAGCAGTTGCAATTAAGATTTGGTAATAAGAATAATAATTATCTGTACCAGATAATGGCTTTTATTCCCCATCCCCTAAAATTTAATAAAATAAAAATAAAATACCAGTAGCTTTTTGCATAAAGAAACTGAGAAACCAGATATTATACCATTTTTCTAGTCTGTATTAGGTCCTAGCCTTCTTTGATGCCAACTAAATGCCATAACAGTATATTTTCTAGTAATGTAGACATGACTTTTTCTCATGCTTTGGTTATCTGCATCAGTTCATTTTTTTTCCTCGTTACATCATTCAATGATTTCACCCTCGTTACATCATCATTCAATGTAGTAAACAGGTTGCGATCAGAAACTTCTCTACCGATTATGAGAGAACTGGTTCCACAGTATCTTCAAGAAAATGGAAAGGTATTTTTATTTTGACATGTGTTAACTTGTGGTCACAAGAAAAAATTAATTTGTTTGAACCTTTCTACGTTGTAAATTATAAAATGATATTCACACCCTATTATGTAACTAATTCCTTTTCATTGTGTTTAAGATTCCAATTTTTCAATGGTTTGTTATAAATAAAACTAGCCTAGCTTCATTATCACATAGATGGTTACATTTTACTGTGTCAGATGATTATTTATTAATCCGTATCTTTTAATTGTAGGAGAGGCTGGATCATTTGGAAGATGGAAAAACTATTTTTAAATTGCGATTAAGGCTTTGCTCATCTTTTTACCCAATTAACGAGCACATACGGGCTTTTTTTCTTGAATATGATGGACACACTCTGCGAACAAGCCCTCCCTGGGGTTCTGAACTTTTGGAGGTATATTGGCTATGCTTCTTTCTTCAGTCTTTTCAGTTGTCTTGGTTAAATCTATTATTCGTATTCATAATCTCTTTAGTTTTGGTGTTTTGTAATTTTCAAGTCAACTAAAATTATTCTATGGTTGTGCTTGAATTGATTTAAACATTCCCCAAATCCAGTTTTCTTAATTGGTGGTACAGCATGTCAATTTTATAAATGCAAAACACTATGTCATGAATTGGAGTGTTTTCCATATGGTTAGTATTTTGCAAACCGTAATATACCTCAGTGACTAGATCTCTAGGTAGATTATACAATAAAAGTAGTATTAGGGTCTGACTTTAGTTAGGTTTTTGTCGGACTTAGGTTGTTTATGTTTAAGAGGTGGCAATAGTTGGAGTAATCCATTGGTTTCCTATAATTCACTGATATGAGATTGTTACACATGACACACCCTCTCCCTGTCACATGGTCATAGCACACCAAGCCACTGTCAACCTCACCTCCAATTGCACACCAGGGCTTCCAACAACCCTTCCAGGGTTGCAAATTTGATGCAACTCTTTTGGATTTGTGCAGACAGACTAACATCAACTACTCCCCTCGGATTGCTCATATAACTTGGCCCTGGGCTTTGATACCGTGTAAATATCTAAATTAAACCAATTGTAATATGTGGAGTACTACATTGTATTTGAAGTCCATAGGTTTCCCTTTAATTCACCAATGTGGGATTTTTCCAGTTAACAGGTATTATTTTGAAACAGTGAACTAAGCATAATCTCAAATACTGCAGAGGGGAATTGCTGTAAATATATATATGATGAGAATGTCTTGACTTTAAAAATTAAATAAAATTTAAAGAAACATTAATTTTGATTTAATATAACTGTGTAGCCTGTATAGGTTCCTGAATCTGTCCAAAATCAAATAGATTGCAGTACTTGATGTTGTTGATGCTTATACTTCTCTTCGTCCTTGATTTCTTTTGTGTCTGCACTACTCTCTTGCAACCAAGGCAGCATTTGGGATTAAGGTGTCATATGTTGTTTGTAAGAGTTTGCAACAGTATTACAAAATGCGCAAGTAGGCAGAGTGGTGGCTGGTGCCTTGCCTAGGTTGCCGTGGCAGTGGTTTCATGTGTCTTAGCGTTGCAAAAGACGCTAGGCAGTGCCTAGGTGTTGGGCCACTGCCTTGCACCATTGGTGCTGCTTAAGCGCCACCTAAACACTCTAGGCATTTTAATTTTTATGCAAAAAAATGCCAAAATAGAACAGAAAATCTAAAAAATAGAATAAGTGGCTTGCCTAGGCAAGGTGATGGAGCAAAAAGAAAAAAAAAATCTTAATTTGTCAATACCGTGCAGATTATTATTATTTTTTTTTTTGGATGAATGTGCAGCCTATCATTAGTCTACTCCACATTCATAAATGTCCACGATATGAATTCATAGTTTACTTCTAGCAACCTTGAATCTTCTGGAATATCCGAAGTAGTTAAAAAACTTTTTATTAGCATGCTTCCACTGTTTTATATTTTACCAGGTAACCAATTTTTTGGGATTCCATTTTTTTTCATGTTGTTATTATTATTTTTGAATTTCTGTCGATTGTATGATCTGATTTTTTGTTTGATAAAACAAGTAACTGAGGATTTTTATATCCTTTTGTAGGGTGCAGCAGGAGTCAGTTGATGATGCTGAACGTAATCGCTTTCTTGTTAACTAAGTACATTATGCTTTTGATGACTTTGGGGCTTGTCAACCATCTGTTTATCCTGGGTTGTCTACTGTGTGGAGTAGCTTGGCCCGTAGTAAGGTATGTCTATCTTCCCCGATACAGCCTTCTATTAATGGTGTTGATTTCTGTCTGCTTTCCTGCTCTTTTATTGTAATTTTGGAAGTTGTAGGCATGGTTCTTTTTTTCTTTTTCTTTTTTTTTTTGTTTCATGACATTTATAAATGTTTTGATCAATGCAAACCCTTCGAACATATTTCATTAGGTGAGATGAGCTACACTACAGCACCAGAAATAGGTGGCATAAAACATTAAGATAACAATCCTCTTCTGGTGTGAGTTCATTCCACATTAGTGAAGGTCATTGGAATTATATTATTAACTGAATCAAATTAATGTCTGCCACCTATTATTCATTGATATGTAACATATAGATTCAGAGTATATTATGCATATAAACAAAGGAAAGAGTCTAACAATTAAATTAAGAACACATATAAACAGAGAAAAAGGTCAGTTATTTATAATTTAAATCAGAATACACATTCCCAACTTATTCTCTCTTTTTTTTCTTTTTTTCTTAGGGGGGGGGGGGTTAAAACTTAAAACCAACAAACCATCCAATTTATCATCAAGAAAACTAGGATTTAGTTGCAAC